AAAAAAAATCAGAATCATTTGTCATCCGCGATATTATCATCGTGATGATGGAAAAAAACTGATGATAATGATGATTAGAGAAAGAATTCACCAAAACAACAACAATAAAAATCAGTCAACCATCACCATCAGTTTTTTTTCGTCGTCGTCAACGAATTTAACAACATTTTTTGTGTTTCGCTTTGTTTTGTTTGCAGTCAATTAAATTTTCATTCGATAAACAGCAAAACAAAACCCAAAAAAACAAATGAAATAACAAGATAATGTCATCATCATTGTTTCATTCATTCATTCAAAACCCGAAAATGAAATTACCAGAAAAATTTATCATCACAAAAAAAACAGAGCAGCAGCAGCATCAAGCGAAAAAAATTATTCTTTTTACTGGTTTCTGGAACCATAGAATTTTTGGTCAAAACACACACACACAAGTTTGACAGACAGAATGATAAAAATGATGATGATTATCATTGGCCTGGACAATGGCGAGTCTAAATAGTATTTTTTTTTCTTCTTTTGCATCTCTGATAAACAACCAACCATTTGCTGATATTATCCAACTGACCAACCAGCCAAACCAAAAACACATGATGACATTTATTGTTGAATAAAACACACACACAGACTATTTATATTGATTATGTCAAAATGAAAATGAAAAGCTTTGAATAATAATAATCCCAAAGCTGAAAAAAACCAACCACAATGATAATATCAACATTAACGAAGAAGGCATTTTTTTGGTCAATTTGCTGTTAACAAACAAACACAAGCAAACAGTGTATTTCCCAGTAATGATCATTATCGTTTTTTTCATGTTGGTTTTCCATTTTTTGAATCCGAAGCTAAATTTTAATATATTTATTTATTTGAATTCCACATTTGGTAATGATGATGATCATCAGAATGTTTTTTGCAAAATTGATTTAACTATTTTTCAAACGAAATTTTGTTTTTTTTAGATAAAAATTATCGACGAAAATTAGATAAATTAAATAATAAGCATGAACGGAAAAAAAAGAAAAAAAATACTTTTAATTAAAACATCATCCATCGAAATATATAATGATTTTTTGGGAAGGAACAAAAAAATTTTTTTGGGGGTTAAAAAAAAAAACGATTCTGGTTAACTCGGGTTATAGACACACACACTCAGGGAATCCATAAAGAATTGGAAAAGAAAATTCATGATGTTTTTGTAATTTGTTTTCAAGCTAAAATATGTTTGTGTTTTTGTTTGTTGTTGTTGTTTTGTGTTTTTCAATATTGATAATAATGTTGTTGAAGTAATTTTTGTAATGATGTTAATATTTGATAAAATTTTTTAAATGGTGAACGTTGACATTGTGATTGTCGGAATGTTTCATCACAATCAGCCCAACCAAGACCACGTAACATTGCCATTGTATTATTATCATCACTGGCAATATTTAATTGTTCAACAGCTAAACGTATATAGGTAGCTAAACGTGGCCAATAACTATTAATTTTTTCACCAATTTCACACATAGCACGTGATTTACATTCTTCTTCACGTATATCCAATAATTTAAATGAACGTTCTGGTACTGATCGTATTGAATTGGAAATTGTATCATAATCAATATTATGTAATGATTCTAGATCGATAAATGATATTTTTGCATTCGGATCAATTTGCCATGGTGCAATCAATGAACTTGTATAAATAAATCCCGAAACCAAAAATGAAATCATTTTTATAGCACCATATACAATGATACTTGGTATAAATGTTATTGGATCAATCATACCATTCATACCGAAACCATTTTCTTTTGCCAGTTTTTGTGCTGCTTGATACATTTCATTTGTTTGTGTTGTAAATTTAGTAACCATATTCATCATATTGATAGCCGAATTAATGGGTGAATCTTGTTGTTGCTGTTGATACTGCTGCTGATATTGTTGTTGTTGTTTTGGTTGTGAAAATTGTTGTTGTTGTCGCTGTTGTTGTTGTTGACGTGGTTGTCTGACTGATGGAATCGAATTCTGCATTGGAATTTTTTCATCATCATCAACTACGACTACCGGTTCATCGGATGCATTCGCTGTAATAATTTCATCGGATACACAGAAATTCGTCGTCAACGAGACGATCAAAAAAGTTGAAAACACGATTGAAAATTTCATTTTTGTTTTTGATCAGAAACAAAAAAAAAATTTCACCTATCAATGACAATGGTAAACAATGAAATGATCAACCAAATAAGTTTTGTTCATTGATTTTAAATAAACTTTTAGGTATCGAATCAGCAGGAATCAGATGACCAACCCGAATAAATTTGGTTAGTTTAGTTAGTTAAATCAGTTCAGTTAGTTAGTTATACACACCACACGCCTATTCGGACCTAGCTTGATAGCCAGGTAACCAGATAAAAAACAAAGATAAGACAATTGGAGCCGAATAGAAACATTTCTTTTCTTTTTGTGTGGGAAAAAAATCCTTTCAAAAAACGAAGAAGAAAAAAAATGATTCTTGATCTTGACCATCGATCAATTTGTGTGTATGTGACATGTTTTATGGCTGGTTTTTTTCTGGATCAATCGAATTGCCAATCAATGAAAAAAATGTTTTATGGCTACCTGCGGTTTTTTTTTAAATTTCATTTCAATTTGACCAATGATAAGACAAAAATAGGTATTTTTATTTAGCAAAAGAAGAAGAAAATATTACAAATATCTTGGATACAAAAAACAAAAAAGAAAAAAGTCTGTGTTGATGGTGTTCAAATGTTCAAAATTGAAAATTTTCTTATTTATCAAGTTTGATCTGGGAAATGTTTATTTATATTGTTGCTGTTGCTGTTGAAATTCAAAATTTTGACCATAAAAATTTGGCGGAACAAATTGAAATTGTGGAACAAAATTTGGATGACAATAACCACCGTTAGGTGGTATTCCATTTGTAGAATTATTTCGATGTTGTTGTTGTTGATGATTATAACAATATTGATTTTGCAGTGGATGTTGTTGTCGTTGTTGCTGCTGTTGTTGTTTAACATTTTGTTTATTTACTTCAAATATTGATTCATAACAAAAAATTATTGATTTAATTTCATCAATTGAATATGTACGATTTGATGAATTATAACGAATATTATGTATTAATGAATCAAATTCTGCGGGCAATTTAGATAAAAATAATTCCATTGTAATATTTTGATCAAAACGTATACCATACATATGAAGATGTTCGATCATAGTAAAAAATTGTGTACAATATTCACGACTTTTACCCATTTGACATTTCAAACGTATAAATGTTATTAATGTTGATTTGGAACGTTCAAAATATTCATTTAATTTTAGCCATAAATTTTTTGCACTTCTTTCCGATTGAAATTGTTGTTGTAATTCACTACTTAGATATTTATAAATGAATAATAATGCTTCAGCATTTATTTCCGATGGTAACGTCGAATCTTCTTGTTCAGCCCATATAATTTTATCAAAATTTTTTTCCAATAATTTTGCTATCATTATATAACGCCAATGATTATAATTGAAATAATTTAAAATTGGAATTTTTTCATTTGCATAACGATTGTTTGTTGATTGATCCATGATTGATGGATTGATTTGATTGATAAAACTTGACGACAAAAATGAATGAATTTATAATCGATCGACATGCGATATCATTATTTTTTTTGTTCTGATTAATTGAGCAAACCAATTCGAATCACGCATGTTCGATTCGAAAAAAATGAATATTTTTTTTGTTTGTTACAATTCATAAACTACGTTATATGAGTTTTTCCTTTTTCGACGAATTTATTCGCAATTCGGAAATATGATTTGATTATATTCAAATTAATTATAATTAATAACCGATATTAATTGAAAAGTTTTCAAATTCCAAATGAACGGTTAAGTACGGTACGGATATTCGAAATTTTCTTAGCTATAAAATTAATCATCACTATTCTCCGGTAAAGAATATTTCTTATTTTTCTTGTTTCATTAGGTAGCAAACGAACTAATGTCATGGCAACATGGCCAACATTGTTTATTTGGTATTATTGAATACAATGTTTGGTCGGGAAAATGGTGGAATGGAAGAAAATATCCTGTAAATCACTATGGTAACATATTCGAATGGCATGAATGAATTTCATGATATTTTTGGTATGGGTTTTTTGTGCAATTCCAACAACAACAACAACCCACCAAAAACAACAATAATAAAAAATGAAAGACCTTGTCTTTTGGCAATCTAAATGATAACAAACAACAACAACAACAAATCGTATATCTTTCGCTAATCGCATTCTTGAATCAACTTTGGATTCTCAAAACTAAACAAACAACAGAATTCGGGTCAACAAAAACATAACATAAATGTTTGACATCATCATCATAATCAAATGTTTTCATCGATGCCATTATATCCGAGACATCATAATAATATCCGTAAAAAACGACTGAAGATATCATCATTATCATCATCAGATCAGTTCGAGTCAATTTAGAAATTGTCCACAAAGTGTGAAAATAGCATCTCATTCATTTTTTTTCTGGTCTGAATAAAATGTCCAAATATTTATCATGACGTTGATGATACAACAAAAACAACAACAACAAGAAAAAGAAAAATTCAGATAAAAGAACCAAGCGACAGTGATGATTGCTGATGAAAACAAAACATAATAATAATTCTATCCATAATCCTAATAGCCATACAAGAAGAATCATATTGAAAGAATTGTCAATATTACCAACCGATTTAGATACTGAAGGTATTTATTTATTTAACTGATGTTTTGACATGTTTTTTTGTCGTTTCTTCCTTACTAGCGATTTTTTTAGTGATAACATTCATTATCTTAGTTAGCAATTCTTAGTTAGAATGTCATTTTTTTCGATTTATGTTATTTGATATGTGTCATGTTTTGTTTGTTATAGATGTAATATTTTATGCCAAATTAATTGGAATCGATCCAATATCCGAACCGGAATTATTGTGGATAGCAAAAGCTGGATTGCTTTCATCATTACCATTCAATTGGATTGCAGTGTACGTGATTAACTTTTGTAATTTTTCTCCATTTCTTCTATTGCTGTTTCTGGTTATTATGAATCACCCAATTCTCTATTGATTGATTAATCTTGTTTCAATTTTTTTTTCTTCATTCTTTCATCATTTCTATATTCTCCTTCCCCCCTATCCAATCTAATGATATTCTTCTACTATTAGTGAAGATCGAAAAGGTCGACTTTATTATTACGATCAAAAAAATCAAAAATCTAGCTGGGAACATCCAACCGATTCATATTATCGTCAATTGGTTATACGATATCGAAATTTATATTCGGATATTCAGGCTATTTCCAACAGCAATAATCGTACATCAATATTATCATCATCATCATCATTGGCTACTACTTTAGCTGATCCATCTTTTAGCCAAAACCAGAATCAGCATCAGAATCCAACAATCAGTATTAGCAGTGGAATTGTTACATCGAATTCAAACGAATCATCATCATCATCATCAATTTTAAATGTGAATCAACAAATCATCAATTCATTTGACAACGTAATGAATGATTTTGCCATCAATAATGACCATCATTTTAGTTCACCTTCAATTGCTAATTTGCATTTTTTCGATGACGATGATGATGATGAAAATGCAGAAGCTGACAAACAACAACAAACCAACTCTAACCGTATGTATTTTATTTATTTTATTGATGAAAATCAAACAAAAACAAACGTACAGCATACGTATTTAAGTTCATCATCATGATAATGATGATCAGCCAGTAAGAAGAAACCTCGAAAACTACAAGTTTTTTAACCAACCAAGTTGCCACCGTTTTATCTTTAACCAACCAAAAAATAGCAGCCACCACCCGTAATTTTGAATATTATGGTGGTCAGTGAAACTATACAAGTTGAACGATTGCCTTACGGCTATTTTGATGGTCATCTTTGATCATCATCATCATCATCAGACTTGCCTTCATAACGAAATGATCAATTTTTTCTCCATTTAGGTCTCTCTTTCTCTTGACTGTATCAAATGTCATTTGAAATGAAAATAGAGGAATGAAAACACACACACGCTAATTGCTTTGATCATTTGGAAAAACTTTCAAAAAAAAAAAAAATTTAAATTTCAACTTTTTTTTCAATGTTTAATGGTTCATCATCATAAGCAGAAAAAATCAACCAACTGATCATTATCGTTGGTTTACCACTAATTTGATTTTTTTTCTCGTTGATCATTTCGTTCAAAAGAAAAAAAAATGTCCTTACCCAAAATCAGCATAAACAATGTCTCCATCGATTCGTGATGATGATCGATCGATTGCGATTGCGATCGATCGAACCGATCACGGATTGATTGATTGGCTTTTAGCAATTTAGATTTTTTTATTTTGTCTGTTTGTTTGTTTTTACATTTTTCAATTTCTATTTTCTTTAAATCCTTTTTTTCGTTAATAATTACCTTTTTTTTTGGTTTGAAAATATAGAAACAACAACAACAACGAATGCAGATAAATATCGACCATCAATGGACGATAATGACAATGATAATCCTGATAAATCTAAATCATCATCATCATTAGAATCGGTTGCAATTGAAATTGAAAATTTTGATGATGAATTGATTGAAGAAATTGATGATAATGATAATGATGTTGAAGAAATTGTTGAAATTATCGATAGTATCGATAGTATTGAAGAAGAAATTGTCGATGAAACTGATGATAATCATAAAAATCAACATTCAGATAATGATGATGATGAAGATGATGAAAGTATAGCTTCATTAAAAGCCGTTGTTTTAATGAAAAAATCAACAACAAATAACAATGAAGAAGATTTACAAACAACAACAACAACAATAGCTACTATCGAAACACCAACAACAACGACAAACAAAGGTAATTTTGAATTGATTTCTTTTGTTTGTTTGTTTATTTGATTCTTTTATTTATTCAAAAAGTAAAACAAAAGCAAGAAAAGTTTTTTTTGATTGAGATTTACGGCTTTGAATAGCAAAAATAGCTTCGAAATTGGAATCTTAATTTAATGGAAAAGAAAAAATTTAAATTACTTGAAACTGATCCATTTTCATGCATGATGATAATGATATGGCAGCGGCAATATTGAAGATTTCATTTCATTCCATTTGTGTCTTATTTCGGGTATCAATTTCAACCATCATTATTTTTTTTCCAGTGAATATCGTAAAAGACAAACAAAAAAATCCAAAAGTCTTATTGTTTTTCTTTTCAGTTGTTTGTTTTGGTAAAGGTATTTTTCAAAATCATTTTCTTCAATGCACTATAGATCGAGATAGTTTTTCGGCTATCACATTTGAAAAGATTTCGAAACCCCTTTGTTTTTTTCGAATGGGTTGTTTTCATCATCATCATCATCATTTGTAATTGTCTCGTAAATCTTAATTATGTTCAAGCAAAAAAATAGAGATGCTAAAAGCTTATCGAATGTTGAAAGTTTTTTTTATTCTTCTTTCACTTTTTGATTTCAAACATTAAATTCTCTTTTTTCCTTGAACACACTGATATTTATGGCTGTTACACTTTTGTTTTCGTTTTTTTCCTTGTGAACAAAAGTTTCGGATGCTAATTTTTTTACCGATAACAAACTAGGAGAGAATGAGAAAAAGGACTAAAAAATTTCTAATTTGAAACAAAAAAAAAACATTATCTGTGCCCGAATCGAAATTCTAGCCTAAAAACAAAAACATTCATTCGACCATCAAACAAGACCTTGTACAAAATATATAAATCCTTGCTATATAAATTCTTGATTTGATTCTTGCCTTGATGGGTTTTTTTTACAAAACATCATTTACCGTTCATTTTCAGTAACAAAATGTTTTTTTTGGCCAATTAGCCAAACATTACCTAACACTTTTTACTGGCCTGTTATTATATTGGTTGTATATTTTTGATGTGTTTTTTTACACAAAACACACACACCAAAAAACTAATGACCAAATTGGAATGAAACGAAACAAAAATCTGTTTGTAATTAACACCCATCAAGGGAGACTATCACTATCTCTCTTCATAGAATAAATAGATAGCAGCAATCTAATAAAATAGTAAAGAAGAAAAAGATTTTCTCATTTTGAAAATTATTGGTTTGTTTCGGTTCTGAATGAATGGAATCCCCTTCAACGAAAAACGAATTAAAACAAAAATAACAACAACAACTATTACAGATGATGAGCTTTATGTTTTCCAGGGAAAAAATACCATGTAATAACAGCAACAACAACCAATGTTGACCAGAACAAACAAAAAAAGTGGTTCCAAAATAATAGCCATCATCATCATCATCATCATTGGATTGTTCTCATTGGGATCATCATTTAAGTCTTGCAACAGCCAAAAAAAAAAAAAAAATATTAACCGATTTGATTCGGCCTTTTCTCAATCGTTTTCATATGTGTGTTTGCAGAAGAATTGAGAGTTTGCTGTTTGTTTGTGGATTTCCAAAAATATCATCATGGTTTGTTCCAACAAACCAATGTTGATGATTATAATAATAATAAGTTAATAGCGAAAAAATAATTGACATTATCGTTCTTAGCCGACAAGAAGTAACCAGAAAAACAAAAAACGAAAATCTCCACTTTTCTTTGTCATTCTGGTTATTCCACCATATAAACCGCCATTACCATTACCACTTATAAACATAGATCATAATTTATTTATATATAAAAATCTCATTCATTCATTTAAACATTCTCTTGGGTTCGTTCATTCTAATTTAGTTATCATTTTTTGTATTCAATATGAAATTTCATAAGTATAAACGAAACGAAACTAAGAAAAAAAAAGATTCAGGCCATTTCATATAAATGAAATGAAATATTACCAATTACCAGCATCCTGTACACAGAGAGAAGAAAAATGGTATCATTTTAGCATTATATTCATTTCATTTGATTCCAATGTGTGCTTTTTTTTCCAATGGATGATTCTAATTGAATTTCCATTATGATCATTTCATCTATATAAAATGTTTATGATACATATTTTTGCAAAAATGATCACCTCAAAGTGTGTTCAATGTGTAATCAATCACAAATATTTTTTTTTGTTTTAAAGAGAGAAATTCTTTGGCTATCCCTCGAGTTCCATTAAAAAAGATGATTCTTGTTTTTTTGGTTGTTGGGTTTTTATTTCTGATTTCTTTTGGTTATTGTAACTTTTATTTTTTCTTGTTTTTGAAATCTATAAAGATTCGAAAGAAGACCAAGATGATGATGATGATATAATCTTTAGCGATTTGATGGAAAATTTGATACAGGAAGATGTATTCAATGAAAGTAATGACCGTACAGGGAATTATCAACAACAAAAACATGAACAACGACAACAACTACGACCTCAATCAGCTCGATCATCATCATCTAAAACAACAATCACAGCAAAAACATCAATAAATGAAATTCTGTTGAATCAGCAACCAAACGAATTATTATCAACAACAACAACAATACAGAAAACCGATAACATCAGCAACAATCGTAAAACACGTAACAACAATACACCATCATCATCATCATCATTGTTGGAAGCTGTATTTGAAGAGGATGATGATGATGATGATGAAGAAAATGATGGTGGTGGTGGTGGACAATCACCATATGAACAAAAAAATGGTTTAGGTTTGTCATAATTCTAATTCCAATATTTTACCCAAAAACCACAATTTTTTTGCACAGCAGCAGATTCGATTGCGTAAAATATTTCCCCTAAATTCAGTATCTTTACATTATAGCAAAAGTTATACAGCTTGGAGCACGAACAAGGGGGGTGTTAAAGAAAAATAGTTATTAATTATTACAATTAATCTTTATTAAACTTGGAAGAAAAAAAAAGTTGTTTAGTTTTTGCTCTACATATAGAATTTGAAGCTAGTTTAGTTTAGTTTTACATACACATTTGATAATAATAATAATAATTTTTTTAACAGTGTTTTTTTACGAACGTTCCACGTTTTAATATCCTATTCTTTTTCAAAAAAAAATGTTGCTAATGTTGGATAATAAATTGCATTTTTTTTCTACTTTATTTTTCTTTTTTTCGTTGGCGTAAACCAGGAGAAGAAGAGGACGAAGGAGAAGAATCTCATTCCAACGATAATAACGGTGGAATCAAAACTGATGATCAAATGAGTCAAATGGGATTCATCATCATCAAGCCAACAACAACAACAGTAACAGTAACAAACAGTGAAAATAGTCAAAAATATTTGAATGAAAAGCTAAAAGATACTGATATTAAACCAGCCACTATGGCAATATTATTAGATAATGTTGAACGGCAACAAATTAATGATGGAAATCAATCATTGAATGGCAGAAATGAAATGAACAAAAATCCTAACGACGACGAACATCAAGATGATTCCGTTGTCGATGACGACAAAGTTTTCAAAGTTGATGATGATGATTATGAAGAAGAATTTGAATCAGAATCAAATTCCATTGAACAAAATGAATTGAAAAACAATAACATTAATGATTTGATACAAAAATCATTTGATAATGAATTTCAACAACGTTTTCAAACAATTACTGAACAAATGCAAATGGATATTGTAAATTTACGTGAAAATCTTCGACATGAATTGAATGAAAGTGAAAAATTATTAAAAAAACAAATAACTAATGAAATTCTTTTGGTAAATGATCGAATCGATAGGATTCATATACAAACAAATAATAAACAGGAAAAATTATCCGGAAAAATCGATGATCTTAATTTGTCAATCACGACGATTCAAAAACAACAACAACAACAAACGAATATAGTTGAAGAAATTGGTAACAAAATATTCACAACTAAAGTAAATTCCATACGAAATGAAGTGGATGAAAATTTGAATGAAAAATTACAACGAATCAGTATGAATTTAGATCGAACAATAACGAATGAAATTGAAAAAGTTTCCGAAAATATTGAAACAAAATTGCTGACTAAACAGGAACAAATGTTACGAAAAGAATTATCATTACAAATATCTGAATCAATGAAACAATATGAAAATCAAATGAATCATAGATTATCATTGGATCGAATACGAAATGAATTTCGTCCATTTATTGATCAATGTCGATTAATGTCCGATGAAAATCAAAAAAGTATTGAATCATTACGATCAATGATTGAACAGGATAGAAATTTTGCTCAAAAAAACTTTCAACGAATCGATATGAATTTGACACGATTATTGGAAAAAGATAAGGAAAATTCTAATATGACTGCATTGATGAATCGATCCGAATCGGCGTCCGATTGCCATCAGCAACAACAACAACAAATACGTGATATGATCACTGAAGAAAGAGAATCATTAATGAAAAGATTGAATGAATTGGATACGAAAATTGAATCATTTATGCAACAAATTGATTCAAAATTGAATCGATTCGAAACAACAACAACAACAACAATTCAAGGTAATTCTATGTCTAAAGAAACGAATCCTAATAATGTTTATCATAATTATAATAATGATGATGATCATCATTTGAGAACATTTCCAATAACAAAGTGTGAACAAAATTCTAATTCCAAACTAAAAAAATACCATAATAATAATGATCATTTGGCTCATCAAGATGATAATGATGAAGCGATTTCGCTCGATAATAATGCTGCTACCAATATTGATTCAAAACAAATTCCAGTAACTAATGATAATAATGGAACATTAGTTCGATCATTGAATAAAAATGAAACTAATGAAAAACATTTACAGCTAATAGAACAGTGTAACAATTTGAAAAATTTTTTACAAGAATTTTATGTGAAAAATACTGATGATGGTGATGATGATAAAAAGATGATAAAACCACCGGCCAAATTCAACATGGCTAGAAAAATGAAAACAAAAAACTACAATGAACGACGACAACAACAACGATCTAATTTGGAATTTAAACCAAAATATCGGTAAGTTTTTTTTTAAAAAATGATTGATTATTAGATTTGGGCAAATTTTTTTTTTCAATTTTGTTTTTTATCATTCAGATCAATGTCCAATTCAAACTCATCATTACAGTTATCGTCTTCGTCATCAACTGCATCAACATCATCAAAAGGTCACGATCATCATCATCGTCGATATCGACATAGACAGGGTAGAGATTTCATCGATACTTATATACTTCCAAATGAATTGATGATGAATCATCATCATCATCATCGTTCAAATTTACCAAAGAAATTTGATTTAAATTATAAAAATCAAAATCAAAATAAACAAGCACAACATCGTGTTCGTATGCAAACAAATTCATTGATTTCATTGATCAAACAGACAACTAATCAATTAAAACAAGAATTGAATAATTTGGATATGCTTGGTGATCGGTCTGATGATATTGATTTGCATACATTGATGGCAGGCAGATCATCAGTCAATCATCATCATGATAATGATGATTTGTGGTTGCCATTATCATCATCATTAAATGGCAAAACAAATCGAAACATCAATGATGATTTGTTTAAATTTACCGCAAGGGATGATCAACAACAACAAAAAAATCATGATGATCAAATGCTAATGTTACGTATGAAATCGATTCGTAATTCAGTCAATGATCGATTGATGAAAATTTCAACAGCTATTGAACAGCAAAAAATTACACAAATTTAAAAAAAAAACATCAAGAAGAAGAAGAAAGAAAATGAAAAAAACAACATTCAATCTAATTGCTTTTTTCAGTGATTTTGAAATTCCAATGCAAAATATTCTTAACAAATCGAAAAATGACCAGATTCTTTTTGACTATCAGTGTGGAAAATTTATTTAATTTACACAAAGCAAGCAAACACATCCCCCCACCATCCATGTCTGTAGTCAATTAAAATTCTTTTTGAATTTCTAAATGAATGAATTCATTCATGGTGAAGACAGCAAATGATGGTAAAAGCAAACATATCTTTTGGAAATTGTGTCAGCGATTTCTGGATACTTTTATCCATTTCCAAAGTGAGGAAACAGGGGTAATTTAAACTATGCAAACATTTACCGAATACGAAATGTTTTTCTTAATGCATTCGAATGAAATGAAAGGAATGAATGAATGAATGAATGACAACAACAACGAAAAACAAGTAAAGAAGAAAAAAAAATCTAATTAAAAAACCGCCTGGGTCCGTCTTGGTTAAGCCAAGAAGAAGATGCAGAAACTTTTTCGAAATATTTTTGAAAAGGAATACCATTGGAAAAAATCTACGTTCAAAAAAAAGAAAAGAAAATATTCTGGATTCTTCAAAGTAAAAAAAAATGAAGATAAACTTTTCATTTCTCATTTCGTTCCAACACATTTTATATTTTATTTTTTTTCTGTTTTTGTGATAAATTTCTAGTCATTTATTATACGGTTATGTCTATTAAAAGTGAAACAAAACAAAAAAAATGTTTTCAAGAACAACATTTTTTTTTCTTCAGTCTTTTGAGATTTGAGAAACAAAGCAACAAAAAAAAAATGTTTCTATATATGAGCTGCCGTGTGTACACATGATTCATTTTGAAACATATTCTTTTCTTACATTTCTTTATTCGTAAAATGAAAAGTTTAATTAATTTTAAGTAAAAGTAAATAAAAAGTTTCTTATCCCAAAGATTTTTCTCTTCGTTCATTCATTCTGAGTGTTTTTTTTCAAAAAAACTTTTTGAAAAAAACATTACATCAACACTGCCATCTAATGAATCATTTTAAAACTATTTGTTTTAGTTTTCATCACTAGATGGCAAACATGTCAAAATTTTCAAATTCAACAAGGAAGAAAAAAAAATTTCATAATTTTAATTAATTTTTTTTAAAAAATCCTAAATTATTAATTCTCTTTTAAAATCACATATTAGCTGTAACACTAATGGATGATTGAATATCGGAAACAGTATTATCGCAAACAGATGTTGTATCGGCAAATTCGTCAACAGAAATGGATGAATTTGAATCAACAATATGATCGACAATTTTTTGTCGACAATAATGACCAAGTTGTGTACATTTTTGACATAAATGTTGTGGATGTTCTTTACTTTGATCACTAACATCCAAACCATCCGGTTTATCCAATGGACGCTAGATTGATAATACAAAAAAAATGAGAATTTTGTGTTCAAATCAATAAATTCTAAGACAAAACCAACCTGTTTATGTGGATATACCATTATTCGACAACAAACACACATTTGTCCACTATTTGCCCATGAATTACCGGACATCCATTTACGTTGACAAGATGGACATTTAAATTCACCAAAACAACGTTTTTTACCTTGATATGGTGTCAATCCTGTGTGTGTGTGTGTGTGAAAAAAAAGTTTCGATAAAACAAATTATTACCAATGTTCGAATGTTAATTTTTTACCATCAATTTTTCCGGTCAATGATGATAAATCAATTATTGGTGGTGGTTGTTGTTGTTGTTGATGGTTAGCCGTTGATTGTGTTGCCAATTCAGGTAATAAATTTGTTTGATTATGATGAACATTCAAATGATGATTTGTTAATAATTTTGGATCAAATAATTGATCTAATGATATTGCGGATAAATCAACAATACCATGATGATGATGATGATGATGACCTGATGTTTGCTGTTGAAGTGATGATTGCTGTTGTTGTGTTGTTGCAATCGTTGACGGATAAAATGTTGTCGTTGATGGCAACGGAAATGTCTGAAGATTTGTGGATGGTGTTGTCGATGATGATGATGATCTTGATGATGATTCGGCTGTTGGTGATAGAAAAAATGTTGCTGGATTATATTGATGATGATGTGATGAAGCAGCAGCAGCAGCTGCTGCTGCTCCTGCTAAAAATGATGCTGTATGATCATTAGATTGTGTTGATAAATATGGATGATGATGATGTATGCCCGGAACAATATGATTCATAAATGCCATATGTTGTTGTTGACTTGGATAGGATTGATGTTGAATTGATGTAGATGTTATAGGCATATAAGAATTAAATGTTGGATGTTGAAGATTCGGATGATGATGATTCGGTTGAGGATAATTCAAATTGACATTTGAATTCTGATCCTCAGTGGTAATATTCATATCTGAATGATTAATAAAGCCGATTAACTAGATGAAAATCTTTTCAATTTGATGGCCAAAACAAAGAAAAAAAATGAAGTTTTTTTATAATATCACAGACAATTTAAAATGTCAAATAAACTAACTGCTCAAATCAAAATGCTGAACATTATAATCATCAAAGACAAAATTTTCAACAAAAAAAACAATAAGTTTTGAAAATTTGAACAGACTAGTGAAATTACAAGTGAACAAAAAAAAAATCAGTCAGAATTTAGCATAGACATCAAAATGAAATCAACAAGTTCAATTCTTTGTTGTCTGTCTGCCTGTTTCTCGGTAGAAAAAAAAATCTCGATTTTCATCATCATCATCATCATCGTAAAGAGCATCTTTGATGAATGATGAAACCTCGTGTGCGTTATTGTTGTTCAGCATAACACAACGATTATTATCCTTCACCATCATCATCACAACAATGATGATGATGATGATGATGAAAAAAATCTTTACTTAAGACATCCATTGAAAATACTACCAATCATATCAAGTAAAGTTACTTCGTGGATCTCTTCTTTTTTTTATTCGATTTCATTATATCCGTACCATATATAAAAGATGTTGAATCGAAAAAAAAGTTTCTTTTCATTCAACTACCACCACCACCATCATCAAATGATTGTTGACGATATAATAGCCGTTGTTTTCTTTCGTTCATCAATTCGTTCATCAAAAGAAGGATTCGTTTTCGTTTGAGGTTTTTGATGATGATGATATGATTGTCGATTGAAAAAGAAAAAAAAGAAAGTAAATGTTGAATTTAATGATGTAAAAAAGTCTCCTTTTTTTTGCTAATGATTCGATAGAAGAAAAAACAAAATTCAAAACGTTATTGTATCGTTCATATTCAAAAATGATGATTACCTTTTCGAACAAATTGTTGACATTTTTAATGTTTATCATCATCAACAAATATCCCATTGATCCATGGATGATTTGTTCTTTGGTGTTTCAGACATTCTTTTTTGTTGAAAATCGTCATATGTTTTTTGGGTTGTTTGGATTGTTCTTCGCAAAAAAAATGCTATTTTTACCCAAAAGATGAAAAAAAATGATTAATGATGTTGAAAAAGGAAAAAAGTATGAATGTTTATTCGGTTAAACAAAATGATGGATGAAAATCCAGTATGTAGAATCCTGTCAATCAATCAATCAATCAATCAATTTGATTTTGGAATTTCAAAGAAAAATAAAAGTTTATTTAATTAACATCATCATCATTAAAAATCATCCTTTCTTTTTGTAATTCTCAAATCTATAGATTTTTGTATTTGTTATTTATGATCATCTTTTTTTTGATTATAAATCTTTTTCCAATTTATTTGTAATTCACTTTTTGTTTTAAAAAAAAATTCTGAATTATGTTATTCATTCTCTCTCACTGTTGCTTTGTCTGTGTTGATGATTCTTTCGAAATTCAACAAGAAACTTGTTCAAAGTTTTTACTTTTTTTTAATTGTCTTTTTTTAATTATTATTTCATCCATAGCCAAAAAGAAAATTTCTTTCAAACAAAACGATGATGGTTTTTTTTCGGTTGTTGCATCAATAAAGATGTATGCGTGGTATCAGTTTCATCATCATCATCATCATCATTTAACAATCAAGTTAAAACAAGTGGGAGAGTGTGAGAGATAGAGCGAAATAAAAACACTATTATTAGCCATTCATTCATTCATTCATTTAAATCAAAATTCTTTTTCCAATGTAGAACATACATTTAAAAAAAAAATTTGTCATTCATGAATCAAGATTTTTCTTCTTTTTTTTCTCCTTTTATCTTACATCAATCTTTGAATGATAAAATACAGAATCTATCTATCCGGATTCATTTTTTTTTTNTTGTTGTTTTGTTTGAATTCATCAGACACAATGCCTCGTCATTAAATTTGTCATTTACTTACTTTACACATATAAAAAACATTTGGCGGTAATGGCTGAATTGAATTGAATGAACAATTAGTTTGCGTGGAAATGTTGTTTTTTCTTTTTGTTGTTGCTTTATATTCATTTTTTTTATGCTGATGTTCATCAAATTCATTATATTCAACAAAAAAAAAACTTTTATTGAAACTAAAGTGAAAAGCAATGGAGACAGAGAAAAAGAAAAAAAAATCCGGAAAATATTTGTTGAATTTTATTTCCTATTTTGCCTGAAAAATATATGTTGACAAATTAGTTTTTTTTTTGATACAAAAAAATCCTTACAAGCAAAGTTATCTGACACCTTTGTTGAGTGAGGTTAGGTTGATGACTATGATTCATAGTTGAGTGAGGTTAGGTTGATGACTATGACTATGATTTTTTTTTGAATACAAAAAAAAACATAATTGAATTGCGGTTTAAATAACAACAAAACATTAAAATTCTTTTGTTTCCACACCACAAATTGGTACATTATGTGGTTGTATTTTTTTTTTGTTTTCTTTTGTTTTCATATTCTCTCTTTGTGTATTCATATTCTATATTTAGATTTTTCATAAGGAATTCTATTGTCTAATGAAATGAAAAAATATTAGTTGTTGCTTGTTCAGCAATTAAAAAACAAACGGAAAAATTCAAAAAAAAACTAAAAATCGTTGTCCAAAAGATGGCGCTATGTAATTGTTTTTGTTGTTGTTTATCATGTTTGACCAATAGATGGTGTTACACTGGATTGAAAAAAATTCCTGGTTCGATATCAAATGATATATTCATCACAACAATTTTGATGACAAAAAACAGACATTGCACACGTGTATTATTTTGGTTTTTCTTCAGGTATCCAAATAAAAACACGATTCAATAAAATTATGAAAATTTTGCCCATTGTTAATTAAAAATCGAAGAAAAAAAAACCTGACATGACGTGCTTTTTTCAACAATTTCTAACCATAAATAATCTGATTGCATTGTTAACGATTATAATCATAACAATCATATTTATTTCGATATTAATTCGTTTGACAACCGATCAATATCCAAGAATTTTAATTTATAAAGATGAACGATTTTATTTGGATCCAATTTCTGGTGAACATCATCCATTACCACAATTAGGAACAATATTCCTGAGTAAAAAACATACGGTTACTTATCAGGATATTCAACCATCAACACATTATTTATCGGTAATTGTACCAGCTTATAATGAACAAAATCGATTACCGACGATGTTAGATGAAGCTATTGATTTTCTTGAACAAAAATCCTTTAAATATGAAATCATCGTTGTTGATGATGGAAGTCGTGATAAAACCACCCAGATAGCATTAGGTTATGTACAAAAATATGGAACGGAAAAAATTCGTGTCATAACATTGGTAAAAAATCGTGGAAAAGGTGGTGCAATTCGTATCGGTATTCTGGCCGCTCGTGGTGAATATTGTCTTTTTGCCGATGCTGATGGAGCAACGAAATTTTCTGAATTTGAAAAATTAAATCATTTTATTCAAGAAAGACGAAAATCATACAGTAAAAATGAACTTAATTGTAAAGAGAAAAATTNAAAAAAAAAACATCAAGTGAAGAAGGAAGAAAGAAAATGAAAAAAAAACAACAACATTCAATCTAATTGCTTTTTTTCAGTGATTTCGAAATTCCAATGCAAAATATTCTTAACAAATCGAAAAATGACCAGATTCTTTTTGACTATCAGTGTGGAAAATTTATTTAATTTACACTAAGCAAGCAAACACATCCCCCACCATCCATGTCTATAGTCAATTAAAATTCTTTTCGAATTTCTAAATGAATGAATGAATTTATAGTGAAGACAGCAAATGAATGGTAAAAGTAAACATATCTTTTGGAAATTGTGTCAACGATTTGTGGATACTTTTTTATTCATTCCATTTCAATTCGAAAGTGAGGAAACGGGGTAACTATGCAAACATTTACCGAATACGGAAATGTTTTTCTTAATGCATTCGAATGGAATGAAATGAAATGAATGAATGACAACAACAACGAAAAACAAGTAAAGAAGAAAAAAATCTAATTAAAAAACCGCCTGGGTCCGTCGTCTTGGTTAAGCCAAGAAGAAGATGAAGAAACTTTTTTGAAAAATTCTCTCTAATATTTTTGAGAAGGAATACCATTGGAAAAAATCTACGTTCAAAAAGAAAATATTCTGGATTCTTCAAAGTAAAATATAAAAAAAATGAAGATAAACTTTTCATTTCTCATTTCGTTCCAACACATTTTATATTTTATATTTTTTCTGTTTTTGTGATAAATTTCTAGTCATTTATTATACGGTTATGTCTATTAAAAGTGAAACAAAACAAAAAAAATGTTTTCAAGAACAACATTTTTTTTTCTTCAGTCTTTTGAGATTTGAGAAACAAAGCAACAAAAAAAAAAATGTTTCTATATATGAGCTGCCGTGTGTACACATGATTCATTTTGAAACATATTCTCTTCTTCCATTTCTTTATTCGTAAAATGAAAAGTTTAATTAATTTTAAGTAAAAGTAAATAAAAAGTTTCTTAACCCAGGATTTCTCTTCGTTCATTCATTCTGTTTTGGATGTTTTTTTTCAAAAAATAACTTTTTGGAAAAACATTACAACAACACTGCCATCTAATGAATCAATTTACAACTAAATGTTTTAGTTTTCATCACTAGATGGCAAACATGTCAAGATTTTCAAATTCAACAAGGAAGAAAAAAAAATTTTCATAATTTTAATCAATTTTTTAAAAAATCCTAAATTATTAATTCTCTTTTAAAATCACATATTAGCTGCAACACTAATGGATGATTGAATATCGGAAACAGTATTATCGCAAACAGATGTTGTATCGGCAAATTCGTCAACAGAAATGGATGAATTTGAATCAACAATATGATC